GCTTGTTAATAAGTTGTGACAATGCTGTTCCAACAACTTGTCAACAGGATATCTCCTCAACAGGCTTGTAGCAAGCTTGTTAATAAGTTGTGACAATGCTGTTCCAACAACTTGTCAACAAGATATTTCTTCGACAGCCTTGTACACACATAAAAACGCACGAGTTGTTACAGGTCTGCAAACAAGTTGTTACAAATATGTTCACAAGCTGTCGACAAGTTGTGTTCGCACTGCTTGTTCCAAGTTGTTGTAACAAGTTTGGAACAAGCTGTTAACAACTTGTAACAAGCTTGATGGCATCATCAGACTTATTACAAGGTTGTTCTAACAAGTCTGATACAGTCATGATATAACAAGAATGTTACAAGGTTGACGATACAAGGTTGTAACAATATTGTTATATCATGACTGTATCGGACTTGTTGGAACAACCTTGCAACAAAGTCTGATAATATCAACAAGGTTGTTACAACTGTCTGTTAACAAGTTGTTCCATACTTGTTGACAACTTGGGACAAGCAGTGCGAACACAACTTGTTGACAGACTTGCTACAAGATGTGAGATTTTTACGCGTTTACTAAACACGTAAAAACGCGCAAGTTATTGTAGATCTGCAAACAAGTTGTAACAAGGTTGTTGTGAAGCCGATATCAGGATGTGTTCGCACTGCTTGTTCCCAGTTGTTGCGACAAGTCTGGAACAAGTTTTTATCATCTTGTTACAAGGTTGATGACGGTAACTTCCTACAAGTTGTTCCAACAAGACTTAGGGCCTGTTCATATGGGCAAAAGTTATCCCGGTTAGCGAGAAAACTTTTCGACAAGTTTACAAGCGAGATCTCGCTTTGGTATGAAAATAATATGAAAAGTTACACTGCGTTCATATGAGACGAAAAGTTTTCCAGTGTACCGAGATCTCGCTTGTTGACAGGCGAGATCTCGGTGACCGGGATAATGTTTTTCCCATATGAACACAACTTTCCCGCTTAGCGGGATAACTTTCTGTCGTGTCAGCAACTTTTCAATTCAACTGATGTTCAGTGCCACGTCACAGCCGAAAACTTTACCCGGTAAGCGGGATAAAGTTTCTCCATATGAACAGAACAAAAGTATTTGGCTAGTCGAAAAGTTTTCTCGTTAACCGGGATAACTTTTGCCCATATGACAAGGCCCTAATACAGGCTGTTCGTGGCAAGTTGCTACGAGCTTGTTGTCATCAACTTGTTAACAACTTGTTATGTGGAGACGATATCAGACTTGTTGGAACAACTTGTTGCGAGTCTGTTGGCCTCGTCAACCTTGTTCCAAGATGATAACAACTTGTTCCAGACTTGTCAACAACTGGGAACAAGCAGTGCGAACACATCTTGTTGACAAGCTGTGAGATTTTTACAAGTAGACACGTAAAAACGCACAAGTTGTAACAAACCTGCAGCAGACTTGTAGCAATGCTGTTCCAACAACTTGTCAACAGGATGTGTTCGCACTGCTTGTTCCCAGCTTGTTGTCAACGGCTTGTTGACAACTTGCTACAAGGTTGTTGAACTCAACAGACTTGTTACAAGTTATTCCAACAATTTGTTATCTTCCTGCAATTCAACAATTTTGTCACCAAGTTGTGAGTGACAACCTTGTAGCAACTTGATAAAATAACAGCATTGTTACAACTTGTTGACAAGCTTGCTGCAAGCCTGTTGCGAACACATCTTGTTGACAAGTTGTGAAATTTTTACGTGTGCAGTTCTAATCACTCCGCGTATTTTCAGTTATAAAATGTTGTATTTCGGCTGATGAGCAAGGGTCGGTAGTAGTGAAGTAGTTGTAGTTCGCTACTGTAGCGAGCAATTTTCAAGTAGCCAGTAGTTTTTGACTACTTTTCTAAAACAGTAGCTGTAGTTATAGCGAACTACATTTTGCCTAAAAGTAACCAAGTAGTTGACTACTTTTCAAACAGCGAATCGCTATTCGCTACTTTTTAAAATTGTTAGCAACTTCACAGAATAGAATGATATTGAGACACGGTTTGCTTAAAATCAATACTCAATAGTCAATTTGCACTCCTGAACACTGTAGTGCTTACAAAAATGTTGCTTTGTGTTTACTGTTGCTACTCGTAAGTCGATTTGTTATAGGTTACATTCCTGAGTTAGTAGATGCTCCAAATACAGTAAAACTAAACTAATATAGCGTAGCGAAATAGCGAAATAGTTCGCTACATTTTTTAAGCAGTAGCTGTAGTCAGTAGCGAACTACCTTTGTTCAAAAGTAGCAGTAGTTGTAGCTGACTACATATTTTTGAAGTAGCTGTAGTTATAGCGAACTACAAAAATTTTCAAGGGTGGGTTGACTACAAAATTTTTGTAGTTCGCTATAACTACAGCTACTTCAAAAATATGTAGTCAGCTACAACTACTGCTACTTTTGAACAAAGGTAGTTCGCTACTGACTACAGCTACTGCTTAAAAATTGTAGCGAACAATTTCGCTATTTCGCTACACTATATTTTTTAGTTTTACTATATTTGGAGCATCCACTAACTCAGGCAGTAATGTAATCTATAACAAATCGACTTACGAGTCGCAACAGTAAGCACAAAGCAACATTTTTGTAAGCACTACAGTGTCCAGGAGTGCAATTGAGTATTGATTTTAAACAAACCGTGTCTCAATATCATGCTATTCTATCAAGTTGCTAACAATTTTAAAAAGTAGCGAATAGCGATTCGCTGTTTGAAAAGTAGTCAATTACTTGGCTACTTTTAGGCAAAATGTAGTTCGCTATATAACTACAACTACTGTTTTAAAAAAGTAGTCAAAAACTACTGGCTACTTGAAAATTGTAGTTCGCTACAGTAGCGAACTACAACTACTTCGCTACAACCCACCCTTGAAAATTTTGTAGTCAACCCACCCTGGCTGATGAGAAAGATCGTGACTCAATCTTTACGACCGTTACGACCATATGGAAACCAGACTTTATACAAACATTATATGTCGACAAATTTCAATCAATCATCTTTATAAGAGTCGCAAAAATTTTTTCAGAAAGGCATTATCCAATTTTACTTCATAGTATTAAAGGAGAATTTGTATACAGAAGGAAACAAGCTATTTGCATATCCTTTACAATGCAATTATAAAAAAATGTGCAAAATTTCGTGCCATAACTCAAAAGCATTTTACTAGTAAAGATAACATCGGGATTATAAATTTAACGTCCGAACGATAAATGTCCGATTATTTTTCCGCGCGATTACTGATTATTTCAAAACGGTCGATCAATTCTCTTTGCCGATTATTTATCTGATTAATCCGATTAATCTCTGCTAGTGAGACGTTGAACTGTCATTCACATACTTGTCTAAAACGACTATGTCTTCATGTCCTGTATGCCTTCTTGCCAGTGTTAACGCCAAGTCGTTTGCTTCTGAACTGAAGTGAATGTTGAAGAGCACAAATATTATACAAAGTTAAATTAAAAACTATCTTTATTTTTGTTTATACTTTACTTTATTATATATATATATATATATATATATATATATATATATATATATATATATATATATATATATATATATATATATATATATATATATATATATTTACACACCCTATTAGTCTAAACTGTTCTTTCTAGAGGTCCAGTAAAAATCATCTCTTATTGATTCAGTGTTACTACAGGAGGAAACCTAAACTAAACCAACTTTATTTATACTGGATAGCTCTATCAGTTCTAAACTGTTCTTCCTAGAGGTCCAGTAAGCTTTAAGGATCATCTCTTATTGATCCAGTGTCACTACAGGAGGAAACCTAAATTAAACTAACTTTATTTATACTGAATAGCTCTATCAGTTCTAAACTGTTCTCCCTAGAGGTCCAGTAAAGATCATCTCTTATTGACTCAGTGTTACTACAGGATGGAAACCTAAACTAAACTAACTTTATTTATACTAGCTCTATCAGTTCTAAACTGTTCTTCCTAGAGGTCCAGTAAGGATCATCTCTTATTGATCCAGTGTTACTACAGGAGGAAACCTAAACTAAACTAACTTTATTTATACTGGAGAGTTCTATCAGTTCTGAACTGTTCTTTCTAGAGGTCCAGTAAGAGTCATCTCTTATTGATTCAGTGTTACTACAGGAGGAAACCTAAATTAAAGTTATTAAACTAACTTTATTTATGCTGGATAGCTCTACCAGTTCTATAACTCACCCAGTACAAGTAAAGTAACAGACTTTAAGCTTCTCGGGTAATTTTGCAACAATTCGTTCAGCATATTGAACAATGCTGTCGTGTAGGAATCGATTGTTAGTGTTGAGTTCTTTCATTTGGTTATCGCATGCCCGTATCACATGCGGATGGCAATGGCCAACTACATTGGACGAGAAACATACATTGAGTGTATAAGCAAAAGATTGACATTGGACAGTTTGCATTAAAGTTACAAAATTAATCCGTTCACAAGCTGTCAACAAGTTGTGTTCGCATTGCTTGTTCCCAGTTGGTTAACAAGTTTGGAACAAGCTGTTAACAACTTATAACAAGCTTGATGGCATTATCAGACTTGTTACAAGGTTGCTCTAACAAGTCTGATACAATGCTTGTGATTTTACTCTGAGTGTATATCCAACACAGAAAAAGTCTGATGCAGTCATGATATAACAAGAATGTTACAAGGTTGACGACCCAAAGTTGTAACAATATTGTTATATCATGACTGTATCAGACTTGTTGAAACAATCTTGCAACAAGTCTGATAGTATCAACAAGGTTGTTACAAGTTGTTAACAGCTTCTTCGAAACTTGTTGACAACTTGGGACAAGCAGTGTGAACACAACTTGTTGATGGCTTGTTGGCAGACTTGCTACAAGATGTGAGATTTTTGCATGTGTATATTATATGCATGCTGAATATTACATGTATGCATATTTTGGAAGGGATTTATCTATTAAATTTATACAGCATTTTTTTATATTAATCTAACGAGTGAACTCTTAAGGTTTTTTTAAAGATATACACCAACCGTGTGTGACATTATTGACGCAATCTAGGTATCGATTGCCTTGTTCATCGTAGAGATACGTCCCAAGACCTCGTACTATCTTGATAGGATTATCCTTGAAGTGAATCTCACATGCTTTGCTAGAACAAAATGACAAAATATTTAACAATGCGTTTCTGAATTTATGACTGTATGAATATGATAACAAAATATGCACCAAAACGATAATTGATATAGAGATGGTTGATTAGGCCTAGCCAAAGAAAAAACACCTGGGCTTCTGGTTTCCCAAACCTACCTAGCTTTTAGCTACTGAAATCACTAATCCTAATCTTTTTAATATCTGAATTTGGAGAAAAGAGTTTGGAGAAATTTTTCATACCCAGTTTGCAGGGCGTGAAATAACGGCTGGAGAGTCGCCGGTCAAGGTGGCCGGCCAACACAATTTTAGCTCGGACATACCGAATATCTGGCCGGTCAAATTACTCAGCTTAAAGCAAAGCCTAGTAAAGTATAACCCTAAAAATGTGACTATTTTCCCAGTATAGCATTATAAAAAGCCTAACTTGATAAAACAGCTGCCTATTGCTCGTTCCTCCCAAGACGAGCAATAATAGGCGGCTGTTTTATCAGGCTACAAAAAGCCTTACTGTAATCAGTAATTAAAAATTCCTTCACATAAAACGCTTGCACTGTGCTAAAAGCATGGCCTTATTTAACTCTTAAGCCAAAAGCATGGCCATGGGCTTGTGACGTACTGCGTGGGAAAGCTGGTGTACATTGAAGTTCTCTTTCCGCAAAATATTCGACTACATGTTATGGTTCTTAATTATAATACTTGACAACTTTATTTTGATTATTAATTCAAATGAAGATTAGTTTGTTCTTTTACCGAAAGTGACCGGTCAAAATGACTGCCAAGGTAAGAATTTGACCGGACAACTGCGCATTCTGGCCGGACATTGTCCGTTGACCGGCCGTTATTTCGCGCCCTGGTTTGTGACGTTAGTTTTGTCAACCAACTGGTTCAAGGTTTACCTCAAGTGGTAGTTACTTACCCAATGAAATTATGCCTTAATCTGAGGGTTTCGTCTTTTGGGAGTCTCTGTTGGCAATCCACATCTTTTGTCGAAGACAGTTTAGTATTGAACTACATGACAAATATCAAATCATGTTACTCAATCTTGCTGACAAATTGGCCTTTATAAAAAAATGGCCAGTACAAAGTCTATAGCTTTTTACCTATCCGACAATCTGTCGCTAGCAGAACAGATTTGACATCCACATTTGTCCAAATTTTGTGTGTGATAGTGTGAGAATATCATGGTATATATCAATATGCCATATTATGAATATTTTGTGATTTTTTAGTGATATAATATTTTTACTCCGGAAACAATAACATGGTGCATCTGTCATAAACAGAATAAGATATATTCCATGTACTTTTGGATAGGGGAACTTAATTAACCCAGCAGGCAAAATAAAGTGGCAATGCACCCCACTTCAGTATTTTACCCTGTCTAACGCCAGACGATTTTACTCGTCAGGGGGAGATTGCTGCCACTCAATGGGTTAACCAGACTTAATCTGCCCATTTTATTATTTACTCTGTCTAACGCTAGACGATATTACTCGTCCAGTGGTGTAGCAAGTTTGATAAGTTCGGGGCCCATATTCATATATTCGTGTTCTGCATTGTTAATTTCTTTTGAAGTCGATTGTTTTTAAGGTCTGTGAACACGAATGTATGAATATGGGCCCCCCAATTATTGAGCTTGCTATGCCACTGTACTCGTCAGGAGGAGATTGCTGCCACTAAATGGGTCGTTCCAGAAAAGATCCACACTCCCCCACAGAGGAAATTTTTGCCATCCGGAGGGGGAGGGGAGAAAAAATTGTTTCTGATAATAGTAAATGTATTAGGACATCCGAAGGGGGTAGGGGGGTTAACTTCCTATTTCCTCTGTGGGGGTGGTATGGATGTTTTCTGGAATGACCCAATGGGTTAATCCGGTTTGAACCCATTAAGCTGTGATGTGCCCTTGCAGTAACTAAATATTTCACTCCGTCTAACACCAGACAATTTTACTCTGTCTAATGCCAGGCGATTTTACTCGTGAAGGGGACATACGTACATTTGTGATAATAAACGAAATTCAGCGAAAATTATAAAATCATGTGAGCCTGAAATTCAAGTCGGTTGAAATAACCGATAAAAATCGGCACAAACTGCACAAGGAACAAGTTGGCCGATAAAAATCAAACAATATCAAAACTATTTATTTGATTATGTCCGATTACAATCAGCTGACTAAAATGTCTTAAAAATCACATGGCACATGCGACGATTTTATGAATTTTAATACACCGATTAATTAAAATCGTGTGCGTCTGCATGCTTGAGGACAATTTTTTTCAAACAATGACCAGGCTGCCAGCAGCAGGATCACATGAGAAGCACAAGATGGGATCAATTTTACCAAAAAAAAAAAATTTACTGAACACAAATAAAATTTATGCAAAATAAATATTTTATCAATCAAAACGAAACAAGATTTAAGTAATTAGAATCTCAATATATTCGATTACGAACGATATACGGTCCCTTGAGGCCAATAAAATAAACAACGTCGAATAATTATATGTAATTTATATCTGATACGCGAGATAAAATTCCTACCTTTGTTGGCCAAGTTAAAATCTCCGCATCCTTTCTCGGCGTATTATCAACTCCGTGCAGCAAAATCGTAGAAAAAGGCAGCACAGTAAACATTTTTGATGAAAATTTTTAAGCGAGATCGACGCGATTTCAACACCGACGTTTCGACACCGACGTTTCGACACCGACGCGGCCGGAAGTCAAAATGATTCGAATTACAGTAGATATTAACCGGTTTTAAACTTGTTTAAGGGGCGGACCCATAGGCGGGCCAGAGGGGGCGGACCATTAGAAATGTGATGGGAGGGGGGAGGGAGGTGGGGCAAAAGCAAAAATAAAAATCGAGCAGGGGAAACAGAAAAAAAATTCGAGCACGAAAAAAGTTTAAAAAAATTTTAAAAAAAAATTCGTGCAGAGACTTTTCAATAGGGAAAATTATAAGTTGTGTAAGGGTGGCCCCAAATTTGGAAAATAAAACTTTTTTTTATATAAGTAATCAGGTGTGAGAAAAATTTTCTAAACCTAAATGTTGCAGATATTGGTGCAAAAAACGCGTTTTAAGCACGTTTTAAGAAGAATTTGTCAGGGAAAATGTGTCCTGAAAAAATTGTCCTGAAAAAATTTTTATGTCCGGAAAAAAATAAAATTCGAGCAAGGGATTAGTAAAAAAAAAATTATCGACACAAGCAAAAAAATTTGAAAAAATAATCGTACCGGTTGGAAATTAATGGACCACCCCCCATCACTTTTCTAATGGTCCGTCCCTAACGGGTCATTAGTGGTCATTCAGTGCTGAATATATTTCCGGTAATTATTTGAATTTATTTCATATTTTTTTCTAAATAGGGTATTATGTAAATTACATTGTATAGATCTCTGTTTGGTCTTAATTGCTGTATATAAAATGTTGATATTAAAAAGCATTAGTTGTAAAGGTTTTGCGAAGGTGAAATCGTACCACCGTCCGTCTTCAAGGTCACTGTGAACGGCTGCGGCATGAGCATGTCTACAAATTGAACTACGAGATGCTTGCGAATGAAGCGAGAGCGATATGGCAAATGTTGATATTTCCAGTGCAAGTCAATTTCCATGTTGATATTTCCACAATCCGAGCCAAAATATTAGATAAATCCGCAATCCGCTGTGTTAGTAAGATTCGCCAATCCGTGTAAAATATTCACCAGATCTGAAATCTGAAGAATAGGATATATCCAAATAGATCCAAGGAACAACTTGGATATATCCAAATAGATCCAAGAACAACATGTTTACTGTATTTTGTAAACACTTTGGTTTAAATATCTAAAATTTGTTTGTTTCTTCTAGCCTTGTTTAAAAAAAACTTTATTAAAATATAGTGTAAATCCAATGCAAATCCAATGATCATTCCCCCTAATCTAAATCCTAATCTGAAACAGTTAAATCCTAAAGCCTAATTAATATGCAGTTTTGAAAGGTACAAACATGGACATCTGTGGATATACCTGGCCAGCACAAACCACTATGATGACATTTACATGAAGTATAGAGATATTTTACAAATTATTGTTTTGCATTTTGAAAAAAAAATTCGTTCACATTTTTTGCAATTTCTGTTGTTTTTTGTTAGCTTGAACTGGGCAGATTGTGCAGTCTGTGTATTCAATTGATAAAGGAATAGTTTTGCGTTAAAATGAGTGAACGACTGAAGGCAATGAAAGAAAAGTCGAAGCTCAGAAGACAGCTTCTAGCACCCATAGTAAGTATTTTCAGAAGACACTGTCAACCACGTGTCTGCGTTTGTATAGTTTGTCCAGATTACATAAAGCATGTGATTTTGTTGTAAGCTGCTGCGGTTTGTGTCTGAACAATCTGAACTACTTGAAAACGTCAATTTTTTGAGAAGAAACCTTTCTTTATAAAGCATTTGTAATAGAACTTTCTCAAATCTCAAGTAGTTGAAAGTCGAATAGCATGTTACGCACAGATGTTTTCAATTGTTGATCCTGTTATTGTTATGAATTATCAATTGCCAAAGCTCAAACATTCATTGAAAACTATGCTTATCAAATATTGAAGTTTGTTCGAGAATTGGTAATTTGACAACTATGAAGCTGTCACAAGATTCTTCATGACATTCATCACAACATTCGCAAGAACCGATGTTTTTTGAACGCCGATTCAACCTCAATGTTGTTCTGGACAGAAAAACGGGAAAAATGTGAGAATAGCTGTTTGAAACTCACTAATATTGAAGCCAAATAGTACCTTGTCAAAATCATGACGGTAGTTCAATGCCCGACACTGGACATTTTGTGCCTGACAAAAAATATTATCGCAATATATAACGCAATATAGTTTTCCGTGGTCATTGAAATAAAAGAATGGCGCCAATGAAAAACTTAGGACATTATGTCTGTCACGTGACCGGCCGCTTATTTTCAAGCTTGTTTTCAAACATGAAAAACTTCAGAAAATAGTACACAATTGACTAAGTAATTGAAATCTGGCACCAAACTAGGGGTCATTGTCGCCATTTATAGTTGCTATTCTCTTTGACATATTTTTTTTCGATGTATCGAAAAAATATCGATATTTGAAAAATACCTGTACCCAGTATGAGCCTTTCTCACACCGCCCTTTTTGGGATACTGTAATTTTTTGTAAACGATTTCAACAATGTGAAAAGCAATATTTCAGAACAAACTAACTATTTACAGAGTAAATTTACCATCATCGTACTGTAGATGCCAAGGTCGTGTTTTGTCCATCTGTGAGATGAACACACCTCAGTAACTGTAGGGGGGTCCGGCGGCATCCCCCTGAAAAATGTTTGAAATTTGGGTCTCGGAAACAGCATTTCAATTGTTCTGAGAATATATTTGGGAGTTATTTTTGTTTCTCGAAAACAAGATTTTAGAGGTACATTTTGTGTTAAGGCACAATGCACATTTTATGCGCATTTGATCATATACTATAACATGTTAATTTGCGCGAAATAAATATTAAATATTATTATTATTATTATTATTACAATGTTTAACAAGTAATAATGCATGTGAAAACATGTGCAACTACTAAATACATCAAACTTTAAGCGGTATAATTGATAGCTTGATGCAATAGCGATTATTAACAAATGCACTCAGGTTACATCCTGAAGTAATTTTACAGTCTGATGTTTATTGATAGCTTTGATATACCAAAAGAAATTAGTTCAAACATTTTACATTATTTCTCTACATTTTAGCTTCTCAGCTAATTAACTTTCTGCTTATGCGTGAGATAGTCAAACTGAAGCGTGTGAGCGTGAGAAATGATGCTGAGGCGTGTGTCACACGCTCAATGTGTGAGACTCGGCATCTATGCATCATACACCCACAAAATTATAAAATGTTGCCGTTACGGGGTGTTACGCTCGCAGGATTGGCAAAAAAGTACCGTACCCCTAAAATGGCGGTGTCAGAAAGGCTAATTTATCGATACATCACAACAGCCTTGAACACACTGTACCATTCACACCACCATCCTCTATTATATCTCCCTAGCTTGGTGCAAGCGATGCTGACACTATTGGTCATGTTTTGGGAAACAAACCAGAGACGATTAAATCCGACATGAAACAAAAAGATCAGTCTAAACTTCTCGAGAAGAAATCAAAAGAAGAATCATCCTCGTCCAAGAGAAAAGCTGTTGAATTATTTGAACTTCCTGGTATAGAGACGGAAACCCCACCCAAAGTGAGGAGAAATAAAAGATGCTTATAAAACCAGGTTTCCATATCGTCGTAAAAATAAAGTTGCTTTCTTTCTCAACGGCCAGTTCATAATAGTTTATACCTGTAAACCACATATAAATCATAAGTATTCTCTAGTTATCATGATTTTTGTGTGTTGGTGTAATGTACTCAGGTGAATATGATGCTTGTGATGTTACTCTGAGTGCATATCCACACCGGGCAAGCTTGAAAACCGTGGTCATGCAGGCATATTTTTCAAGCTTGCCCGGTGTGGATATACACTCAGAGTTAAACATCACAAGCATCATATTCACCTGATTACATTACACCAACACACAAAAATCATGATTATTATTAGATAACATTGATATCGAAGGAACTAGATTCAGCGACCAGACTGCGTAGCTCAGTTGGCAGAGCATTGGGCTAGTATTCCAAAGGTCCTAGGTTCGTTTCCCACCGTGGTCAGGCATATTTTTTATTAGCTTGCCCGGTGTGGATATACACTCAAAGTAAAATCACAAGCTCATATTCTCAAGTTATAAGCCCGCCCGATACCAAAAAAATATTATGTCATAAAGTTCCCATAATAGCGAACGTAAGCAAGGCTTCATCTAGTATTCAAATAGCCTTGAATTTTACACTTTATAATTATAAAGAATTACCATTACTAAGAAGTCAACAGGTCAGATGAAACTGCAACAAGGACAGCTAATAATATCATTAAATACAAGAAAATGTGCAGAAATGAACGATTAAAATCCCACAGACGTTTTAGACATTGCCATCACTCTGTTTACAACAGCAAAACAAAGATCATCATGTCTTGTATACAACATATGCATTTCAAGCTGGGGCACCCTAGAACTTTTTTCATTAGACAGAGTAATCTAATAAAGTTGGGCAGGGTCTTAGCTAGGATTTTAAATCTGGGGCGTGTTTCTAATGACCAAGGTGTGCACATGTCAATTGTAACCTTGAATAGCCAAATCACGGTTCTAGTTATGCTCGCCAACAAATAAATGCCTGTGGTTGTTCTATGCTTTGCAACCAAATACAAGGCAAGCATACGCTCATATTGCGCACTGACATTAAAATATTAAGTTAACTTATTTCAACAACTATTGGAGGTATTTAAAACCATTTTAATGCCATGCAGTTCCCATTATCCATCAAAACATTAAAATATCACAGATCACTTTTGCCAATTCAACAACAACAGTAGATTTTACAAACTTTCTTACAACGTAAATAGGAAGAAATTCTGTCTGTTGTAAGTAGCACCACCTTATTTTATGAACATACACAGCCTTAAATAAATAGTGAAGCCGCATTCATTTTATCTAGCCATGTTTTTCCACTTTTGCCCGCGATAACACGGCCAGCACGGCCCTCTAGCTAAGACCCTGAAGTAGGATGCATCTGGGTGCATTGCCACTTAAATGGTTAACAGTTTGAATGGGCAGATAATCTGATTAACCCATTGAGTGGTAGCTAGCACCCTCCCCCTAACAAGTAAAATTGTCTGGCATCAGACAGAGTAATGTAGTAAAATAGGGTGCACAGGGCAGGAAAAAAGAATTTTCTTCCTGGGAGCACAACCCGGAGACAAAAATTTCCGGCAGACCAACGGAGTATTTTTGTGCTAAATCTGCATGTGCATAAACATGTATTGTTCTAGCTGACTATGGTTTTAAATTCAAGGAATAATGTCAGTGTGTTGCACCCATAGTTGGACATGGGTATTAAGGTTTCCTTCAAATTTTCAATAGCAAATCTTCATTCCATTCCTGCAGCTGTTTAACATTTCCTACCTAGGCGAGCGCCTATTTTTTCACCCCTCAGGGTGCATCTGGGTGCATTGACACTTAAAGGGTTAATGTCGCTAATATGTTGGGGGGGGGGGTGTTAAAAAATGCTAAAACAATATGATAATCATATGACGACCAAAATATTACAAAATCAATGCATCAAAATATTCTCAGACCCTACCTATAACACATTATCCTAGCAATAATCTTTCACACAAGATCTACATCCTCTCCTTAAGTCCTAGTGCAGCCTAAATTCATCCTTAATTACCCTTAAATTTTTGCCACAATTCAGGTTGTCAAATCAGAAGAAAAACCGCCGCCAAAGAAGAAACCTAAGACTGAGGTAATGTAACAATTTTTGTCGGCCAGTCAGCACACAACATTGGATAATATGGCCTGCCAGACTTTCATTGGAATTTTACCAATTGGGTTTTGCATTAAAAAAACATTGATGATTTTTCAGTATACTGATGAGGAGGACGATTATTCTGAAGGAGAATTTGAAGAGATGCAAGAAGCATTTTACAAAGACTCGAGCACATTTTTGAAGGTAATATGGCGTATTCCCTTCGAAAAATTAAATGTCGAAAGTAATGAAATTTTTGCTGAATTTGGCAAACAAGATGGACTGGCACCGTTTTGGCCGTCTCGAGTATTTACAAGCATTCAGCACAGAATAAACACACACAGAAGGTCAACTCAGCCAAAAAATCCTTTAGGCTAAATGAACCTGTAGTGAGTCCTCTGTATGCAATTACTCTGTGCTGTGCTTGTATGTGCGTTTTTTGTGCGTCATTTTGCCGACTGCTGTATTAAATTAAACTTTATACATACTTAAAAAACGCATTAATAATTCGCGAGGAAAATACAAAAGAAATTAATGTTTAATCAATGTTTGTAAATCGGATAAAGATTTGTCCTGATTTACATAAACTTCAGCTTTGATTTTCTCAGCTTAGACAATGTTTATTTTCAAAATTACTTTGCCATTGAACTCATAAGATGGGTCATTTTTTTAAGTACAATAAAACATTCGCATCCGATCTTTATCTGATCTGATATACAAACTCTCGCCTTCGGCTCGAGTTTGTATATCAGATTCAGATCTGCTGCT